TATTAATAACTCTTGTTAACAATCTGACGTTTGCTTTTTAAGACTTTATTTAACGGAATAACATTTTACTCTAGTACTGTTTTGCAGCTTGCCTTTTTCCACATAAATACATATATTTCAGATTTTTTTCAATGTCAATGGTATCTAAATTTATTCTTTTTAAATCATTATATACTATTCTACTCTATAGATTTACCATTATTTGTTTATCTAATTACCTTTAAATGAGCATTTACGTTTATTCCAATTTTTTACTGTTACAGAAAGTGCTGAGGTTGACATCCTTATGCATTTAATTTTGTGTTCTTGTGTGAATATCCAGGTTACTTTTTACAAATGGCTAGCCAACATCTTTTATTGAAAAAAATCCATATTTCCCACTACTGAATAGAAATGCTGTGTGTGTGTGTGTGTGTATACATATATTTGTAGTGAATTCCTGTGCATAGTTTATTTGTGGCCTAATGTGTTCCAGTGATCTGTCTCTAATATGACATTGTTCTAATTGCTCTAATTTATGATTTGCTTTCTCATCCACTAAGCTGGGCCCCCACTGTTTTTTTTTCCAGAATACACACACACACACACACACACACACACACACACACACACACCAAATTTCATATTTATTCTTCCAGATGAACTCCTTTATCCCAACTTAATTTAAAAACTCTGTTGTGATTGTGATCAGGATTACTTTTAATTCCTGTATTAATTAGAACTGTGTTTCTCAACCTGAAACACCTCTTGATAAATATAAAATTCTTACTTCTCAGTGTCAACTTTTTTGTCTGTGCCCATTTACCAAATTATTGTTATTTAACTGTGTTATCCCTACCAAGAATGTTTTCTTGAATTTTGAGGTTTCAAAACATTTTGTGTTCACAATTTAAAGTACAATAGAATTTTTCATATGGTGATTTAGGGGTGATAGATCTCTTTAAACATTGAATCTTTCTATGTCCAAACAATGTATGTCTCTTCATTTATTTCTCCTAAATTCTTTTATAGACTTTGATAATTTACTTATTCTATGAATTTATTCCCAAGTATTGGATGGGTTTGCAATTATAAATTGCAAGTCTTTTTCTTTATATTTTCTGGCTGGTGGTTTTGGTGTGGAAGGATGCTATATATTTTCATATAATAATTTTTTGAGATTACTTTAGTGAACCTCCTTTATTTTCTTTCAGTTGATTTTATTTTTTTCAGTTGATTCCTCCTTTATTTTTTTTCAGTTGATTCTCATGGATTTTTCTTTTTTTTTAATTTGATTATTTATTTCAAAAGGAGAGATGATTTCAGAAAAAATATTTTTAAAAAACTATGTTGATGCACTCTCTGGTTCTTTAACATAGAAGCACAAAGTGCACAGAGGAGAGAGAATCCTTAGAACTATGTCTATAGTAAGAACATGTTAGGACAGATCTTAAAATTATGTTACAATTCGAAGATTGTTTCTTACCTCTTTCTTTTTTTTTTTCAATATATGAAGTTTATTGTCAAATTGGTTTCCATACAACACCCAGTGCTCATCCCAAAAGGTGCCCTCCTCAATACCCATCATCCACCCTCCCCTCCCTGCCACCCCCCATCAACCCTCAGTTTGTTCTCAGTTTTTAAGAGTCTCTAATGCTTTGGCTCTCTTCCACTCTAACCTCTTTTTTTTTTTTTCCCCCCTTCCCCTCCCCCATGGGTTTCTGTTAAGTTTCTCAGGATCCACATAAGAGTGAAACCATATGGTATCTGTCTTTCTCTGTATGGCTTATTTCACTTAGCATAACACTCTCCAGTTCCATCTCATGGATTTTTCATATGGGGAATCAGATTATCTGCAAATAGTGATTATTTTGCCCCTTTGTTTTCTAATCCATTTAACTTTCACTTGGTTCGATTAATTAATTGCATTGTCTTTTGTTTCTGAAAAATGTTAATAGTGATAAGAGTAGACATCCTTGTCTTATTTCTGATCTTTCTAGGAATGGTTCTAGTGTTTTATTATTAATTAGATGCTTATATCCGTTACGGTTAAACTATGTGTATATATCAAGTTAAGGAAGTGTTAGTATCCTAATAAAAGGAAATATACTTTTATTCCTATTCAATTAGAACTTTTAAAAATAAATTTAGTAGTGATTGTTTAAAAATATTTTAGCTTTTATTGAGCTAATTATATGATGATTTTTTTTTCACTTTGGCCTTTTAATTTGAGGACTTATTTTTCTTAATATTCGTCTGTCATTCTTGGAATTGACTTACTCTGTCATGAATTGTTCTGCTTAATTCTGTTTTCTATGTTTTACATAGGATTTTTGTTATTTATGATGGTTTTTGAGTTTGTAGATATGGTCGCATCTTCCTGTCAGGGTTAAATTGGCTTCGTAAGAAGCAGCAGAAAACTACTTCTTCCCATGTGTAGGAATTATTTAAATAACACTGGAATTATCTGATGCTTGAAATTTTGAAGAAAGCTGTCCCTAAAACTATTTGGATCTGGCATAATGGGAGGTCCAGGATCAAGAATACATTTGGGCAGGTAAGGTAGGCTATTTTCTTGGTATTCCTCTCTCCAGGCCAAATCTAAGATTCAAGAAGTACATCAGATAGGCTTTTAAATTCCTTGTTTTCATTGCTTTTGCTAACATCATTAGATCCTCTCATTGTTTCTGGAACTATATAGAAGATGGCTAACATAGAAGGACTGAACTGCAAGGTTGGCCCTTGTCTGGCATCTAGATGGAAACTTAGATTTTAAAAGTGTTCCTGCCACCAGCTGATAAGAGTGGCTCACTCTAAGCAGTTTGTACAAACATTATGGTCTGTATTGAACTCTAGTCCTTCTGGGAGTCTGGAATTTGGATACATGCTGGGCAGGGGCTTACTGTTGAAACAGCCCCCATGATAAATCCCCAGGGCATCGGGGCGCCTGGGTGGCGCAGTCGGTTAAGCGTCCGACTTCAGCCAGGTCACGATCTCGCGTTCCGTGAGTTCGAGCCCCGCGTCAGGCTCTGGGCTGATGGCTCAGAGCCTGGAGCCTGTTTCCGATTCTGTGTCTCCCTCTCTCTCTGCCCCTCCCCCGTTCATGCTCTGTCTCTCTCTGTCCCAAAAATAAATAAACGTTGAAAAAATAAAAAAATAAAAAAATAAATCCCCAGGGCATCAAGCCTCTAACAAGCTTCCTGGTTGGCAGCATTTAACGTGCTGTCACAACTTGTTGCTGGGGGCATTAAGCATGTCCCATGTAATTCCACTGGGAGAGGACCCTTGGCAGATTATGTCTTGTTCTCAAACTTTGTCCCATATGCTTTTTCAAAACCTTTGCTAATTTTGCTTTGTATTCTTTGGCTGTAATAAATCACAGTCATGAGTTACAATCAAATACTGAGTCACAGAGTTGATTTCATATGTCAGGCCAAGACACTGATATTAAAAGGCGGTAGCAGAGTTATAAAATATAACTTTAAAAAAAGCCTATAACCATGTCATTACAGGTGTGGAAACAGTCTAATTGAAGTTAGAAAATTTGTCAAAGATCACATATGTCGATAGTGGCAGAATAAGGTTTAAAGCTTAAGAAACAAGTCAAGAAACAGTCTTGCTCCATTAACTTTAACATTTTCCCCATTTTATTTATCAAATTAAAATCAGCAGTTTAAAAAATTAACTTTATTGGTGTATGTTTCTAAAACAGGCCTTTTAAAATGCAGGTGGGTGGGCCCAAACTATTACTTTGTAAATAATCTAGGGCATTGGGCAAAAATATTTTCAAATATTTTTTGTTTATAAGCTGTGGCATTGGTAATTTTGTTAGAATCATTTGCCTCTTTGCAGTAAGATTCAAAACGGAATCAAACCCTCAATGAACTTTCTCAGCATAAATTTTGTTTGTATATTTGTGCATCAGAGTAAGCTATGTGACCATACGACAACAGAGTCTAAATCAGTGGCTTCTTTTCAGCCTGCTCATTAAAATCAACTTCTGGAAAGTGATTCCACATTCCAGACCAATTGAATCAGAATTTCTGATGGGTAGGGTTCAAGCATCTCTCCGCACCCCCCCCCCCCGCCCCCGCCTCCCTTTTTTAAAACTCCTCATGTGATTCCAGTGTGCGTAAGCTCATTGACAATCTCTGGTCTAATTAAATTATTTCTACATGGCTAATAAAAATTGTATTTATTCCGTAGTAAGTGGATAGTCAGAAAAGCATAATTAAACCATAAATTTAGCAAAATGAAATTGTATGTATTAGAAGTACAGATCTGGAGAACCTATTAAGATATTTATAAATGTAATGTTAATGTTTATTATGTATCAGTTGAAGAATTAAAAATTTATCTTTGTGCTAGTTAACCAAAAATCAGTCATTTCTCATTAATAGTCACTTAGTCTCACTTATGACCTAGATAAAATTTTAAGAGAATATTATACCAGAGAATATAGTCACTGGTATATGCATAGCATTTGTTCAGGCAGAGAAAGTCTGTTTTGTTTAGAGCCACGCACCATCCCTGAAATTTGGGATAGTGATGTGAGAATTCATGTTGAAGAGGAGTGAGATTTTGAAGTCAGCTCCCAGTAGATTCCACAATTTCATGGCTAACACAGAAAATAACCATGTTATTTTGAACATTGATTGGGTAACCCAGCCAGAAATCAAAAACTAGAAAACAGTCTGATCCTTTGTCTAGAGTACAATCTTTGATCATATGTTAGAGCACGGTTTGGCGAACTATAGTCTTGAGAGTTCTATCTGTCCCTTTTCTGTAAATAATTTTATTGGAACATAGCCGTGCACATTCATTACTTACTGTCTATGGCTGTTTTTGGCTTCAGTGATCTGTACAGACACCGTATAGCTTGCAAAGCCTAAAATATTTACTATTTGACCCTTTGCAGAAAGTTTGCCAACTCCTCTATTAGACTGTTGTATCTTGCATTAAACAATCGAATCATGCATTATTTGCTGACGCTCAAGCTGAATTTGGTCTTTCATACACAGGTGACTGGAGATGATTCAGTTTTTAAGGCTTTCAAATGGAGATTGCAGTTGAAGAAGAGGAATTTGCCTTGGCAACTAGGGAACTATGCTGTTAGACCTCTGATGCTGCTATGATAAGGGGCCAGGAACTTGTCCACTTACCTGGGGCCGGTGTCTCCTTGCCTCACTCATCCTCCATGTCCTTCTGTGTCGCTGTCCTTGCTGGTGCTCTGTCTGCTGGGGGTGAACATGGAGTAGCAAGTAACTGGGGAACCTGGTCTGTGAGGATCTTTCACTGCAGTATCTGGGGATTGAGGCCATTTTTTGTACACCTTGCTAATAATGGATCTAGATACGGAAGTTTAAAGATTGGAGTGGCTTAAGCTTTAATCCTGGTCCAAGTGGAGAGTTCAAGAAGGTGTGGACGTGTAGTGAAGAAGGCACATTCCCCTAGTCTCTGGTGCATTAGAAGGGTAGCAATAGAGGCTGAGCTGTCAGCCACATCTCCACCTTGGGCACCTGAATGCCAGTGAATGCTCTTACTCACTTGCTGGGTAACTTACCCTTAAAAACATTGTACCTGCAAATATTGGAGAGATTGGAGAATATAAACACTTTTAGCTTTCAAAGAACATAACTCCCCTTTCAAACAGGTAAATCTATTAATGATGTTTCAGCCCTTTGATTTTCAGTTACATCTGTAGAAAAGCATTGTATGCAAAAGCAAGGAAGTGCTTATAAATGAGATTAAATGTAATGATGTTTTGGTAAGCAATCTTACCATCAGAGCTGCAAGTTTATACTAGAAATTACAGTCTTGAGAAAAATATTGGGGTTATTTTTTTTTTTGAGGGAGGGTTAAGATTTCATTAATGTCAGGTTATTTTTTATAAAATATTTAAGATATTTTCAGACCAAAATCCCTAATCCCTGAAATTATTTGAAATCTGATGACTTAGTTAATTCTGTTTGTGATTTAGGTCTAGATATATGCCTGGATGACTTTTCACTGGGTATAGTTAGTGATATCCAACCTCATTGAATAGATCTATGCTATAAAGAGGAGTTCTTCTGGTTGTTGATTTTCCTTTCCTGAGGTTCTGATAAATAAGGGGCCTGTATTTGGGCATAGTTTTCTAGAATATGATGGCTCCAAGTTCTTTTGTATTGGAAGACCTGGCATTTTTGTTTTCCTAGTGTGATAAGACATTGAAGGGAATGGAATTAATGGAGTCAGGCTCAATTACTTCCCAGAATAAATTAGTTGATAAAGATACCAGTAATGATAAAATCTCTCTCATGTGAATTTTTTTAAAGTACTTTAAATTCTTGCTTAGCTATGTTTGTGGTATGTGATTTTCTAAGTATACTTCCTCTCCCCCACTAATTCTTATCCCTCCTTTATATAACAGATCAGCGAATATCACCTGTTCTACAAGATGAGTAACAGTCACCCTCTTCGCCCCTTTACTGCTGTGGGCGAAATTGATCATGTGCACATTTTGTCTGAACATATTGGTGCCTTGCTGATAGGGGAAGAATATGGCGATGTCACATTTGTTGTGGAAAAGAAACGCTTTCCTGCCCACAGGGTAATTTTGGCAGCGAGGTGCCAATATTTTCGGTAAGTGTATATTACTTTTTGAAGATTCAAGTTACTTGTGGAAAACACTGGTATTTTCTACTCTATGACAAATATGTAACAAAGCATAACAATAAATTCTAGCAGTCTTTCAATTCAGCATCTATAAGAATTCCATCTTTGTAGACATTTTGTTACTTTTTAATCACCTTTTCCTTCAGAAACCATCTGAGAATTAGCGGGATAGAAGGCTTTCCAGGCTAGACAGTCTCACACCAACCATTTTTCAAGGTCTTGAGAATATTTCTCAGGCTGAATCTTTGTTGCCCTCACCTGCTTCTCACAGTTGAACTTCAGCTGATTTATTGATTTATTGGCAGATAGGCTTCTTGTTGTGTGGGTAGACTGACCTCTGGACTTGCTAGTAAATATGTATACCTCTTAGTTTCAGACCACTGAGACTCAGGTAACCCAACAGATCTATCTCTAAGATACGCATTTGGCAATCCCATTAGATTAAAGGGAATTCATTTATTGAAAGGAAGTTTCATGTTACATTAGAATTAAAACTAAGCAAAATATTTATGGACTAATGTAAAAAAATCCTCCTTGGGGTGCCTGAGTGTCTCATTCGGTTAGGTGTCCGACTTCAGTTTAGGTCATGATCTCATGGTTTGTGAATTTGAGCCCCACATTGGGCTCTGTGCTGACAGTTCAGAGTCTGGAGCCTGCTTCATATTCTGTGTCTCCCTCTCTCTGCCCCTCCCCTGTTTGCACAAGTTCTCTCTCTCTCTCCTTCTCTCTCTCTCTCTCTCTCTCTCTCAAAAATAAATAAACATTAAAAATTTTTTTTTTAAAATCCTCCTTATACATAACTGTTGTCTGTTACTCAGACCTTTAGCTTCCAGGCTTAAGATTGTTAAGCTAAGCTCTAATGACTCTACATTTTACCTAATAATTGTTAAATGGGAATCACCCCTGAATTATAGACTGAGTGATAATTTATCCTTGATAAATCCTTGGAGTCCATGGAGTCCGTATCCATAAAATCATGGATTTACCTAGGAAACTTGATATCTAAAAATTAAGATGCCAAAGGCTTAGAGAAAATTTCAGTTACCTTCTAGTGAAAACTGTAGTCTGATTTTTACAATTAGAGTTAAGTAAGTCAACAAAACAGTATCTAGAGTCACACACACACACTGTTGTGAAGTGAGTCTCTTGGAAATATTTACCATTTATCTAGAACGTGTTTAGTACATTTTAAACATTTTTAGAGCATTCCATTTTGTACATATAAAATGCCACTGTCGATAAAGCCAGGAGCTTCGAAAAGAGAGCTCACACTGTCCTACTCCCCCTGCTGGTGGTCAGCTCAACCCTGACTGCTGGCCTTGGTCTAGTCATTATTCGTTACCAGCCTCTGTCCTCTGCACACTTTTCCTTTGTGTTTCTGTCCCTTTTCTTACTTTTAGTCCACTCATTACTATTAAAGTGTTTGAGAGACCATTCCTTATTAGGTCAGAACTTTTCAGCCTTATGTTTTATATTTGTTAATATTATATGCCTCTCTTCTTTCAAAAATGATTTGAGACAACTGTGTGTGGGTACCTTTAAATGTTCAGGATATTCTTAAAAGAAACTCACATACTTTTAGAAATTTGAAGATCATTTTGAATGAATGGAAATGTACTCCCCTCGCTTACTGAACTTGTTCTTGGTGTCTCTTTGTGGATATTAAACATTTATAATCTATGATGGCTCACTAGGCTGAACTCAGAGTCATTACCAAAGCTGTCTTAGATTCTCATTGCAGACACTGTTCATATGCAAAGGAAATTTAGGAGAGGCCCTAGTGTTGTCATAAAGCCTATCAATTTCCACATAAGGACAAACTAACTGTACAAGAGGGGATTTTTCACAAGTTGGGGGTTCATATTTATTGTTCTAAGGGAGCCCCATGAAAACCACTTTTAAAGTATTGAGAATTTAGGTAAATACCATGGATCACTCTGCAGGGGGAGTAAGTCTTGGTGAGCCTTCCCTAGGAAAGTATTCTTTAATCTAGTAATTTTAAGGTCATGGTGGGGTGCTCTCTGGATTATTGAAAACCTTTAAGAGTGTTTTTAGGCAGAGTATATAACTGGGTGAAGAAGTATGCTCAGAATATTTGTGAATCTTTGCCTGGATGGTTTCAGCTGTTGCCCTGAGGCAAGCCAGAATGCCAAGGCCTGGGGAGGGTGGAAGTTCCAGCAGGTATTGGAGGGAACCCTTGAAATGCTAGTCCTGCTCTGAGAATGTTAGGAGCAGGGGGAGTCTCTTTTCCCCCCCTTATTGTCTTGTTTTCACTTTTACACATTTCCTTTCTCACTTGTACTGTCCTTTTCTGCACTCCTCCCTGGTCCTCCTCTGGCTGCCCTTTCTTTCCTGATGGATTAGAGGTTTAACTGGCTCATATTATTCCTCCTGTAGTAATAGAAGTAGAAATTCAAATTCGTTGCCTGACTGGATTGTCTGGTTTTCATTTTTTAGATGAGCAGATAAGCAATAATATGGGGATTTTTTTTAATCTGAAAAATACTGAAAAGACAGGAGGAAAAAAAAAGTTAAATCACCCATAATCCCATCTCCAGTTTCATTTTTAATTTATAAAGTAACAAATGGAAGTCCTTCCCTACCAGCCATCTAATCCCATTCCCCAGAGACAACCTCTGTTAATAGTGTAAGATGAATTTCCCCTGATTTTTCTCAATATAAATAGACATATCCACATTACCTATGTGCATACACGTATAATTATGTGGTATATGCTTTTTTCCATGCAACCCATGTGGGTCTACAACTTGACTTATCTACCGTATCCTGGACATCTTCCAAGACTGTATATATTGATCTTCTTTATCTCTGTAATAGCTGTATAGAATGCATATATCCATTTTTTTAAGTGCATTTCTGTTGATGGACATTTAAAATTTTTTTTCAACATTTTCATTGTTTCAGTATACATTCTTAAGATGTATCTTTGCTTTGCTGTATTATTTCTCTAGAATTGAGTCCTAACAGATTACTTAAATTACTTTCTCCAAAAGGGCACCTATTTATAGGCTCAAAGCAGTGCATGAGAGAACTTGTTTTTCTATTGCTTTTGCAGCACTGAATAGTTAACAGGATTTTTAATTTCTGCCAGTCTGACAGGGGAGAATGGCACCTGAGTGTCTGTAATTGTTTTTATCTGACTATATCTTTTCCTACAGATTTTTATTTTTTAAACATCCTTATCTATCTTTAATATGTTTATACGGATTTTGCTGTTCCTTTCAAAAGAGTACTTTCATCTTTCTGTTTAATGAATGTTTATTACATATTTGAGGTCTCAAGATAATTTCATTAGTCCAATTGTTTATGGAATTAATCCAAAATAGTTTATATAAATAATTTCTCTTCCTTTAGAGAAATAAAGTGATTACTATGCATTTCTTCACCTGAATCTTTGTGTCACTAAACAAATTTACGTTTGCATAATGCTGCTAACCATCGTTTCATGATATTGTGGCAAATCTTATTGGAGGTTTTCCTTACGCATTTCTTCTCTCATGTGCAGAGCGTTACTGTATGGTGGGATGCGAGAATCTCAGCCTGAAGCAGAAATCCCTCTTCAAGACACCACTGCAGAAGCATTCACAATGCTGCTAAAATACATCTACACCGGGCGGGCAACGCTGACAGATGAGAAGGAGGAGGTGTTGCTGGACTTTCTGAGCCTAGCTCATAAATATGGATTTCCAGAGCTGGAGGACTCTACCTCTGAGTATCTCTGCACCATACTTAACATTCAGAATGTCTGCATGACTTTTGATGTTGCCAGCCTCTACTCACTTCCCAAGTTAACTTGCATGTGCTGCTTGTTTATGGACAGAAATGCTCAGGAGGTGCTCTCAAGTGAAGGCTTCCTCTCCCTTTCTAAGGTGTGTCATCATCTGCAAGAACTTCACAGGCATGCCCTGTACAATTTAGATCTGTGCTGTAAGAGTAGAGCAATAGACTGAGATTAAAAAAAGTAAAAATCATCGGTCTAGAAGAGGTCATCTGTCTAGCCACCTGCCTCTGGCTACTGAGACTCTGTGTAGATCATATAAAAGAGAGGCAAATTGCTTTTGGTTTCTTTTTTAAGATTCTTCTGGTAGGTTCTATGTGTAAAAGAGACTGTGCTACAGAGCGGTAGCATCAGTGTGATGATAGTCAAATAGGTTCCTTTGTGGTGTTGCATACTATGTTTTGGTTTTGTATTTTTCCAACAGAAGAGTGCAACTAATAATTCCATATTATGGGAGGGAAAATTCATAAAAGAGATCTGATGTATCATTGGGTGTCTTTAAGTCACTGCTGTTTTGTTTTGTTTTGTTTTGCTGGCTGAAAAAAATAGTCACACTATTTTGCTCAAAATCATTCTCTGAACTCTGGTGGTTGTCTCTCCTTTCCTTTTTTGTGTTCGTCCTAGAACCTGAATATTTCACATGAAAAAACCTATTTGAAAAGCTGTGTATTTTGGCTTGAGTGTAAACTATGATTTTTATTATCCTACTTACTTTTTAGAGGCAAGGGTCTTCAAGGGTCACACCAAGGTTACTGGAGGTCAGTCTAGAAATCTGAGAACCAAAAATATGGGAGTGCAGTAATGCCGTGGAGCAAAAGATTTCGAATTTTAAATTCCAGCTATATCTTACTGACTTAAAAAAATTTTTAACTTTTTTTTTTTTTTTTTTGAGAGACAGAGAGAGACAGCATGTGAACAGGGGAAGGGCAGAGAGAAAGAGGGAGACACAGAATCCAAAGTAGGCTCCAGGCTCTGAGCTGTCAGCACAGAGCCCAATGTGGAGCTCAAACCCACGAATGCGAGATCATGACCTGAGCCGAAGTCGGACTCTCAACCGACTGAGCCACCCAGGCACCGCTGACTGATTTCTAAATGTAAACTCTCCTGAAGAACCTGCATGGAATGACAGCTCCCCATGCTGCCATTTTTCTTCTTGTTTTATTGAAGATAGGTGCACAGAGGATGTGTTGGAAAAACTAGACATTTGGTGTAGTGGTTAAAGATGCCCATGGCTATTCATGGAGCCCTTATGGGCAAGAGAGTATATGGCACTAAGGTTAAAGAAAGAAGATGGTCAAAGAGAGTTGCTGAGATATAAGTGATACCTGCAGTTCTGTAACATTTTGCTGATTGATCATACACATGGTTGAGCTCCTTGATAACTGGAATTTTTTGCTTTGTCCTTTTCAGACAGCACTTTTAAACATCGTATTAAGAGATTCATTTGCAGCTCCCGAAAAAGATATCTTCCTAGCCTTGTTAAATTGGTGTAAGCACAATTCAAAGGAGAATCATGCTGAAATCATGCAGGCTGTGCGTTTGCCTCTGATGAGCCTCACTGAACTTCTGAATGTTGTGAGGCCTTCAGGACTGTTGTCTCCTGATGCCATTCTGGATGCTATTAAAGTTCGATCTGAGAGCCGGGATATGGACCTCAATTACAGAGGCATGCTCAGTGAGTACCTGCTTATCCTGCGTTCCTTAGGAAGTTTTCTCCCTCGTCTGATAGTTTCAGCTACAAAACGAGCCACAAAACTCTAGTTGCAGGTATATGTGGTGTGTGGGTCTAAGAACATACAGCTCTGTTTCCTGTTGTTCTCCTCTTAATTCCTCCAGAGACTGGTGAGCCTTTGCAGACCCCAAAGTAGTGATTTCTTGCCATTTCTGGATGGATTTCTTTAGCTGTTCCCTAAAATGTCAGAAATAGACACTTTTCCAAACAGCTTCTCATGCTAAGACCTTTCATGCCTTCCTTCATCACATCAGCACTGAGTATGTGCTACACGCTTACTATTTTAGGTCCTGTGAACATGGATATTCTAAATAATAATAGTAGCTAACACTTGTGTTACATTTCCAACACTTATGTGATTTTTCTTATAAATAAATATAATAGTGGTTAACACAAGGTGCTTATATATATCAGTAATAGTTCTACATGATCATTTTTTTAAATGTTTATTTTTGAGAGAGAGAGAGAGAGAGACAAGTGCAAGTGGAGGCGGGGCAGAGAGAGAGGGAGACACAGAATCCAAAGCAGGCTCCAGGCTCGGAGCTGTTAGCACAGAACTTGAGATGGGACTCAAACTCATGAATCGCGAGATAAAACGATCTGAGCTGAAGTCAGACACTCACCCTACTGAGCCACCCAGGCGCCTCTCTACATGATCATTTAATTCTCAAAACAACCCTTTGAAGTAGCTACCATTATTGGCTCCATTTCACAAATGAGGAAACTGAAGCACAGAGAGGTTAAATAATTTGCTTAAGGTCACACAGAAAGATACAGAGCTGAGAGTCAAACCTGCTAGGTAGGCTGTGTAATTAACCACTACGCTGTGTGTGTAAATGCAAAATAGTCTCTGCATTTGAGCCTTTTTAATTTCCTTGTGGAAATAAGATCTACTCCCATGAAAAGTTCAGTACAACAGTGTTTAAGACGAGCACATGCTGTGAACTTCTAAAGGGAACCTAGGTTCAGAAGGGTTGAGGGAGATTTCATGGAGATTATGAAGCCTGAGATGAATCCTAACATTTGATGCGAGGGGTATTGGGGCAGAGTGTATTCACAGGGGAGGACTGGTTATGACTGAGAGCCGAGGTGGGACATTTCAAGGACCGTCATCAGGAGAGCTCAGCTAGAGGTAGAAGGCTTGCATTGATAAACAACACAGGCTGTAATGGTCAGCTCAGGCAAAATCATAGAAGTCTTTCAAAGTAGCTTGGGATCTGGCTTATACACAACCAGAAGGTAATTTTCAAGAGGAAGAGAGACATGAGTATGGTGGTGGTCTTGAAAGATTGATCCATGATGTAATACTTGTTGATTTGAAATAGTGAAAAACGATTCAGGGAGACCAGCTGGGTAGGTGTCTGACTTGTGTAAGGTTGATAAACTAGAGTGGTAGTAGGGAAGATGGAAATTTTATATTCTAAAAAATCAGATCTTGGTGATTTAAGGGATTTAAATCTGAGGATTAAGTTTGGGAGGAAGTTAACCATATTTTATCAAATCTAAGAAACCAGAAGTTTTGAGGTCCCATTGTGTTATGTACCACTAAGAAAGGAAACAGTATTGCCAGTTAAACCATGACATACCATCATGTCTGTGTCTCAACTTCAGAAATGTTAAAATTTGAAAAACTCTGTCTTAGAATTGATGAAATGTGGTAGTTCTCCAAAGATGCTGAGCTTGTTTTTAGACTTACTGAGTTTGAGGGTTTCTGGAACATCTTAGTACTCTGAGTTCTGTCTCATGTTAGTCATTTCCTTGAATGATCTTTTCCTTGACCATGTTTCAGACATTTTCTTGAAAACTGACTGATCTTAAATAGGTGTCCTTAGTTTGGACTTCTCTCCTGACCCATCAGATTTAGATTCCTTTTCATTGGGCACAGAAGAAAAAGCACTGGCTTTGGAGCCAGACAAGTTTGACCTCAAATCCGGAATGAGTCACTTACTAGTTGTGTGACCTGGTATTAAGTTACGTAAGGAATTTTACCTTCAGTTTTAACATTTCCTTATATTGTTATGAGAATTAATTGAAATAACGTGTCCAGGGGTGCCTGGGTGGCTCATTCGGTTAAGCAATTGGACACTTGATTTTGGCTCGGGTCATGAATCTTGCAGTTGTGAGATGGAGTCCCATGTTAGGCTCTACTCTTGGTGCGCAGCCTGCTTGGGATTCTCTCTCTCCCTCTCTCTCTCTGCCCCTCCCCTGCTTGCATACTGTCTGTCCCTCTCAATCAATCAATCAATCAATCAATAAACATTAAAAAAAAAAAGAAACAATGCGTGCAAATAACATCTGTAAGCTCAATCAAGGAAATGATTGTTTATATTATCATTATTTGTATTCTTCCTCATCTTAATGTGTCTCTGTAGGAATTATCACACTGGTCACATTGTTTTAAAATTTTTTGTTTGTCTTTGGTCCTCGAAGGCAGAGATGATTTTTGTACGGCCTGTTAATCTTTGTACCCTTTAACATACTCTATAGCATATAGGAGACATTTGGTGCATGAACTCAAGGAGAAATGTCTAATAGCAGTGCAAGCATATTACTGGAGTTTAGGAAGCAATCAGAACTGGTGAAGAAAGAGTTGAAACCTGGGCTAGAGTGTAGAGAAAGAAGTAAAGATCAAAGTCTGAGACTTGGAGAAGAGCTTTAGCCAAGGGGCTAAAGGTAGAGAAGGAAGAATTAAGTAGGAAGAAAACGGGGTAGGGTTACAGAAGCCGACAGAGGAGAGAACTTTTATATGGAGAGGGTGGTCACAGGTGTCCAGTGATGCTGAGATATAAGAAGAACGAGAATTGAGAGAAAACCTTGGGGTATAAATTGTGGTGGGTTGCTGAGTAGTCTGGGCAGAAGCTTGACTAAACGGGGGGAATTAGGCCATAGGTTTGAAAAAACAGTAAGTACCATGTGTTGACTGTCCAGTGTGTAAATTAAGTGAAAGGCAGTCGAGAAATAGTTTGGTAGCCAGAGGGAATAGGTCGAGGAAGGTCCGGGTGGAGATTGGAGGTGCTAGAGAGTGGTCCTAGTTGAGGGTCAGCCTTGGATTAAAGTGTGGGAGGGTGGACGGGGGAGAGATAACAAGATAAGTAATATACTTTTAGACTTTCTAAATTCTCATTGTCAGATCCTCTTGTATAAGTTTCTTTTTTCCCCTTCTTGCCCTGGCTTTGGTTTGAGGTGTTGGGAAGACCCTATAACTGGATTTGCTGTTAGGATAGGTTTGGTACATTTTTGTGGGAGGGAGATGCTTTGGACATTTCACATAGTTAATGGTAGCTTAGAATTGACCAACTGATAAGTATAGGTATTAGACATGGGTTATAATAAACCCATGAAATAACCATGAAAGGGACTACTCAGTTCTGGAATGATATATTTACTGTACTTAAACTACTCATAAGTATTAAATTCTTCATTCTGGAATAATTCAGTGGGGTCTCAAGGAAGAGATTATATAGATGTTTGGGAATCTTTTATCTAATTTGTGAACTTGAGAAATGAATAAATAGCAGGCTGTTTTTCACACTTTTTAACTATATGGATAGCAAAATCAATACTATCAATACTAAGGATGCATATCACTTTCCTATCAGATACTAAAAATATAGGTTATTTTCTAGGTAAATGTTATCCAAACATATTGTTTTATCACATTTCTTCACTGTTAGGAAAAAAGGGTCTAAAATTTGAGAACTGTTCCTGGGATGTTCTGGAACAATAGTTCTGCTTATTTTGAAACTATTGACCAAATTTGTTTGTGTCATTGTTTTCCCAGGGTATAGTTTCTGTGTCTTTGGGGACTTTTCATGAACTGTGGAGAGGTTCTGTTCTGGACTAGGGGCAGCACAGATACTAATGGTCTTACTTTGAGTTTATTATATTAGTTTCTGGAAAGTTGTACACTTAAAGCTGTATATCCTGGGGATTTTAACCAAATTGCAGCAATTTTTTCCTCCTTAAAAAAAAGGGGGGTACCCAAAGGATGTTTTAAATTTACCATTGATGGTTAGTCTTCCTGAGAAGGTGGTTTTGACTAGTTTTATACATACAACTGGGGAAAAGGAATTAATTTTTAATGAAATTATTTTTTTCCCCCCTTAGGGTATTTGAACTACTAGCACTCAGACCATTGCTTTAATGCTTAGTTTTGTCTTATGGAGCCCTTTCTACCTTGAAAGTTAGTGCTTTTTCTGTTTGGGCTGAGTTGTACTTTGTATTGCATGTCTTAGGTTTTAGACTTTGAGAAAGAGTACAGTAATATATTGCTTCTTCATGTTTATAGCAGGGAGCTTATCACAACTTCCATTCTCAAAATTTCTTTATTGAGTAAAAGTCAATCTGTTAATCGGACTGCTAAGTTAAATTATTGGTTGATATGTAAATATGTGTGTGTGTTTAAATCTGTGTTGTAGGTACATGGTACCACGTAGCCCTTCTTATAGTTTCCAGTAACTCAGATGGAGAAAGCTTGCCCCTCTTGCTTTTCTTGCCTAGATTCCTACAAGACTGAGCTTCCTGAGGACTGTAATTATGCCTTTCACCCCTGTTTTCCAGCACCTAGCACAGTGCCCAAATCTAGACTTTTCACAGTAAATGAGTGACTGAATGGATCCATCCCTTGCTTCTAGACTAGATTTCAAAATGTCTCACCTGTCACATACAGGCTATAATAACAGCAGTGAACCTTTAATACTTTCACAACCCTTTGACTCCTCTTTTATTTATCTTCTATAGTTCGTAGTATCTTCATCTGTAAACTAGGGGGGTTCACAAAGAATCTCTCCTGAGTGTTCTTCTGTGGAGGCATTTCATGTCTGATATGCACTTGTCTGTATTAGATGGTGAGCTTCTGACTCCAGCACAGTCCAGCACACAGAAGGCAGCTTAGAAATTTTTTTTCTTTAAATAAATAGGATGAAGGTCCCATTCGGCTCTTAGAAGTTTTCATTCTGTGATCTTTATAAGTAACTTGCCTAAAGTTACTGAGTGAAATCAATGCCTGAGCCGGAACCAGTGCTGCTCTGACTCAGGAGGCTGGTGCTCTTCGGTAAAGTCTCCTGCCGGGGTTATTTTCTATCTCTGTTTTGTGTTTGGTGTGTTTGAGCACCAGTACTGTTAAATGTGGAAAGGAGGCCTGCAGAGAGTGGAGATAATGGGGCAAGTCAAGGGAAGACAAGAGTTGTCAAGAAGGGCACGTGTAGTGCCACACGTGTTGGAAGGGAGGAGCCACACATTTTTTCAGGGATGTCAGGTTGGGGAGTAGAAGATGATTGGGGCACAGACTTAGGTAAAGAGATTGCAGTGGGCAGAGAACCAAGTATGGCTCCAAATGACCCATCAGGGGTGGACAGCTATCTCAACCTAGATGTAATAGAAAGTTCAATAAAGGAGGAGTAAGAACATAACACAACTAAAGAAAAACACAAGATAATTAACCTAGAACCACTCAGATTTTGGCACTGTGTCGCTAGCAGCAGGTCCTACTCCATTTCTCCTTAGCTTTTCTTTCTAATACTTGGCTTGTTTCTGCCTACCTGTGGAACTTCAGCTTATTTTTTTTCTTCATGTTTGTACAGTGTATCAAAAATCACAAATGTTAAGAAAACTGTTGTTACCCGCTATGCGTTTAGTCTCTAACACCCTATATTTTTTGAGAGCTCTTTTCTCGACTGATAGATATTAGGCAGTAAGAATACATTTATGGTCACTTTTCTTCTTACCTTTAACTGTGGGTCTTGCGTGTGTGTGCAGGTGTGCGCACGTGCACATAGACACACACAAATACTTGGGGGTTGTGTTTTTATCCCGTGAGATACTCCGATTATGGTCACCATGAGAGGCTTGCCACTTGTGTAAGTGTTCTCCATTTTAAAGTGAAAGATACTTTCAGGGAATCTGTCAAGAACAGTTAGAAAAGTTCTCAAGCGCCCTTGAAATAAACTTCAGAAGAAGACTTTAGACTTGCAGTAGCACTTTCATTTCCATTTTAGACTTTTAGTTACAGTCACTTGAAACCCTTATGCCTAGTGTGTTGTTGTGAGCTTGATAAATTTTAGAGAAGAAGATGCTTGTGTTTAGAGAAAATCAAAGGGTGGCAGCCATTTCTAAGTCTGAAAGCTTGAGTTCCTCCCTTCTTGGCTTGGTCTTGACTGGTGGTGGCAGAACTGGTGGAGATGGTTCCAGTGGTCTGCGGCAACGGACTTCAGACCCCCCCATTTTACACTCAGCAGTAAGGGAGAAAATACCTCTTTTTACCCAGTGTTATGCATTATTAGCACTGAAAAGTGGAGATTGGAAGTTTTTGTTTGCTTGCTTTATGAAAAGCTTCATTTCTTGGTTGGAGGCATCAGGAGGGCAGGGCCCATCTCTGTCTTCCTTTCTGAGGCATTCCAGTGGTACCTGGTACAGATTGAGTTCTCGGTAAGGGTTTTTTGACTGTTTGAATGCTTTACACTTCCCATGATCCTGTAGCATATCTTATTTGTAGTATGATCTTTACAGTAATCCAGTGAGTGGGTTGGGCACAGCATTATTTGTAGATGAGAAAACCGATCCATACAGACTGACAGGCCTCACTCAGGGGGAGTGGGGAGTAGAGCCTGAGTCTTAGACGTAGGTTTTCTCACTTTAAATCCAACTTTCTTTTTTTTAAAAAACCGTACCAGGCTCTGTTTTCTTCCCTCTGAGTCTCAGGCGACCCTATAGGGAAGGGTTTGGAGAGAGGGGTAAACGTGTCTTCCCATCAGAAACCCTTACAAGGCAGGTGGCAGGCAGGGCTCCTGGAAGCAGACTACAAGAATGCATATATATGATTACCATGAACTAAGAGAACTCAGGAAATTCTAAACCTGTATCACTTCATCATGAAAAAGGTTGAGCCTGACTAGGTTTTGTTTTGTTTTGTTTTTTCTGAGTTGCCTTAGCCTTTTGCAAGTTAAGTAAACCTACCCAGTCCCCATTGTCAGCAGCATTTATTGTTATCTTCTGGAGCCACTCCCTTCACCTGGCTTCATTTGAAAAATGTTAAAAAAATTTTTTTTTATCTTTATTTATTTTTGAGAGAGAGAGAGAGATAGTGCAAGTGGGGGAGGAACTGAGAGAGAGAGGGAGACACAGAATCTGAAGCAGGCTCCAGGCTCCAAGCTGTCAGTGCAGAGTCCCATGCAGGGCTCGAACTCACGAACCACAAGATCATGACCTGAGCTGAGTCAGATGCCCAACTGACTGAGCCCCCTAGCTGCCCCAAAAAATGTTTTTAAAACTCACATTTTGGAAGAAATATGCAGTGATGAATTACTCCCTTTCACTAAGAGTCTAATTAAGCTCAAACTTTCCCCTATTCAAATCACATAGCTGAGATGTACTTGTACTGTGAGAATTCAGTATTTGTTTACAGTCTGTGAACTTACTTAGTTCTCTTATTATTGTCTGTTTTTTAGTATATGTTTCATAATAATAATGATCATGTTTTTTCTTAGAGAGCTTACTGTGTGCTTCACAAACATTATCTCATTTAATCCTTGCAACAAATAAACAAAAACATCTGGGTCTAGATATTGCCTTCTTGAGAAACTGAAGTTCTGAGAAGGTAACTTCCCCAGAGTCATTTGCCTCATTAAAGGTGTAGCCCCTATTTGAACTCTGACCTTGAAGCTCAGGCTCTCAACATCTGCTTTATGCTGCCTCCTGTCTTTCCACGGAGAGTGTCAGTCAGAATGCCAGCACCTAGAAAACACGCTCTAGCTCTGTGAAGCAGCCTTTGCATAGAGGACTTCAGAGTTCCAGGAACAAATGACACTTAATAAATCTAGTGTTGGAGAGGGGAGGGGGCTTAATTATAACCATAATAATGATTTTGATGACAGACCGAATTTCCGTTTTTAAAAATCTCAATTAAAGTAAAAATAGATCTTCTTTTAAACATACTGTTTATTAGCTAGATTAACTGATTCAGCATGTCTGTGTGTATGGTCCATGCCCAGTATCTCCGCTGTATTGGAACGTGTCTTCTTCTGTTGTCTTATCAGATATCTGACCTCTCTGCTTTGCTTTTATATGTCCAGATGGCGGGTACAGGTCATCTTATATGGCATTTTTGTCCTGTAGATAGTAAATTAAAGCTCCTAATAGAGTGAACTCTGCAGAGCTGGTTTGTTTGCCCTAGTACCTGTTTTTTTTCCTACTATTATCAGCTTCTTCCTTGTAGCACTAGTCTTAGGCACTTTGTGGCTATGCTGGCGTCATTAAATCTAAATGGTAGGTGGTATCTTAACCCTCGTAGACATTCCATGTCTTCTATCTCTGTAGACTTGTTTCTGCCACTTTTCATTAAATGCACATAATAGAATCAACTAGAATATTAGAATTTGTCCTTTTCCCTACAATATAGAATAATTTACTAAGTAACCATTAACCTTGCTTTCCTATTTTTAATTGCAGTACCAGAAGAAAATATTGCAACTATGAAGTATGGAGCCCAGGTTGTAAAAGGGGAGCTGAAGTCTGCCTTATTAGATGGTGATACTCAAAATTATGATTTGGATCATGGATTTTCTAGGCACCCAATTGATGATGACTGCCGTTCTGGCATTGAGATTAAACTAGGTCAGCCATCTATTATCAATCACATACGGATACTCCTGTGGGACCGAGATAGCCGGTGAGTGGTTAGCATGACTTGGACAGAAAACGACATTATATTTGATTGAATTGGCCTCATTTTGTGGTCATCTCCTTTGGTTTTACAGTTTGAGGCTTTATTTCCTTGGGATTGTTTTGCCATTTCTCCTAAAGTTTAGTTCTGGGAGAAGAGTGAAAGGCTATATTCCTTTTAAAAAAAACATTTTTTTGCTTTTTTTCTGTTTATAAAAGTAATGAATATGTGTTTATCATGGAAAACAGAAAATATAGAAAAGCACAAAGAAGAAAACAGAAATTGTTGGTAATCTTGCCAGCCATTAATAATCTTTGCATATATCTAGTATAGATGTAATTATCCAACTTTGTATATATTTAACTAGTTATACGCACACGTACATACACAAAACAGAAACCTGTAAAACTGTATAGTTTTATAAAATGAAGATTTGATGTCTGAAGGCTGACTTCACTTTGTAGTTGTGAACATTCTACTCTTTAGAAATACTCGTCTAAAATATTACTTTCAGTGGTTGGTATTTCACCACCTGGGTTACCATTACTTATTTACTTGATTCTTCACTTTTGGACATTATAACCTTTTAAATGCATTTTACCCTATGAATGAAGAAAATAAGTTCTCTTTTAGTATATGTATAAATAATCATCCTCAAAACAAAGGAAGTTTGTGAAAAAAATTTGATGGGCTCCAGCCTAGGGACCCCTCAGTTTGTAGTGGCTTCAAGATTCTGCCTTCCTTCTAGCACCTCTGACACTTTTCACCCACTGTCGTTTCTAGGGTTCAGCCATGATGCTCAGAAGTAGTAGAGCAGTATAGGTGACCAAGAACTGTCTTTCTCATCACTGCCCATCATTAACCTAAACCCTACATACCCAGAAATTGATACAGAGTCTCCTAGGCCCTACTCATGCCACTGAGCCTGGGTATGGAGGACTTGATAGTAATGGTGATGATACCTTGTAAATCTTGCACGTTAATTCATTTCTCTTAGCACCACTGGCCATCACTCTTTTAAGCCATTTGAACCAAAAATGAGGAAGTTTTATGAGGTAGGAGTCAGTGTTTCCCATAGGCATAGTTGTTCAAGGTCCCCAGGTTATCTTCATCTGTTTCTTTTTTATTAAGAATGTATTTCCTGGGGAATCTGGGTGGCTCAGTCAGTTAGGCCTCCGACTCCAGCTCAGGTCATGATCTCATGGTTCGTGAGTTCAGTCCCCTCATTGGGGTCTCTGCTGTCAGTGTGCAGCCTGCTTTGGATCCTCCG